TGTTGAGGTCTGGTCTGTTGAGGTCTGGTCTGGTTTGTCTGTATTTGTCTCTGTTGGTCCTTTATCCTCTTTTCTTCCTCGTCTCTTCTCTACCAGTGTTTTCTTTTCTTCTTCTGCTGCTTTTCCCGTCTCCTTTTTTTTTCTTCTTCTTCGCTTCCCTCTCTGTCATATTCAGTTTCTCCTCCTCCTCATCCTCCCTTCTTCTCCAGTCAAGCGATTTTCTTCCCCTCTTCCCCCTCCTTCATCCTTTGCCTCTTCCTCCTCGTGTTCGCCCTCATTCTGTTCTCTGTTGTTTCGATCATCTCTCGTTCCTGCTTCCATTCATCCTAAAGTTTCTTTATCTTTCAGTTTCCTTCAGAAAGAGATTCAGTTTGATGTGATCAACATTCATTCATTCTCTCTCTCTCTCTCTCTCTCTCTCTCTCTCTCTCTCTCTCTCTCTCAGTGTGGAGGGCGACTCTCAGTGTCCGGAGGCGCTCACTTTTTCTGATTCGTCCTTCGGCCATCCGCCTCCCTTCCATCGCTATAGCAACAGCCCCCTCTCCAGCCCCTGTGATCCCTACAGCTCTGCCTCCACCAGCGGGCCCCTGGGAGCCTCCCACATACACACTCAGGTACTGACCCTAAGTCTCACACACACACACACATTTCTTTGTCCGTCTCTTTAACGACATCATCTTCCGTGTGGTGGTTTGAACTTTGGATTCTGTCACACGATGATGAGTTGAGCATCACTTCAGGCAAACACTTCGCTGTTTGTACGATGGAGAGTTCTCGACGCACAGCAAAGAAAACAACAAACAAAAAATCCCAACACAAAAAGTGAAAACGTGATGAGCAGCAGACTTCAACTTCACAAAGTTCGATGCTGACCTCAAAAAGCATTGAATTATGTGAACTTAAGATTGTCCACGTTATAGGACCGTCAGATAGCGCCCCCTATAGTCCCAGGGATCCCTGCAGCACGACCAGGAGTGTACAAATCCTTTGCTTAAGTAAAAGCACCAAGACCTCAATGTGAAGGTAAAAGTCAAATATACTTATATAATATATCTATGAATAAATGACATGATTTGTGCTCATGCATCACTTCCCTCAGCAGCTTGTTACCTGATCTAACTAGCTCATGTTGGCATCAAGGAGCTGAGAACCAAGTGAAGCCAAAGTATCTTGATCCAGATGATTTGGCTTCACCGTCATGTCGTCCGTCTCTAATAACTCTGAATCGCCTGATTCCTTCTCTCCTCAGGTGTGAATCTGAAGCAGCTGAGAAAAGAGTCTGGACTCAGAATCGTCTGAATAAATAGAGTTTAAAAATAAATCAATCAGCACTGACGACCTGTCTCCCCTCTCCTCCTCCCCCTCAGGGCAGCTCTCCCATCTCTCCCCCCAGCCCGGCGAGCCTCGCCTGGGCTCAGCGAAGTCGACACCAGCCGGCCAGCCTGGCGCTCCGCAAGCAAGAGGAGGAGGAGAGCAAACGCTGCAAGGCTCTATCTGACAGCTATGAGCTCTCTACAGACCTCCAGGACAAGAAGGTGCAGGACTCACTTCAGACGGAGCTTTTCACACCATCGTCTCTGTTCGGTCTTTTGAAACAAAGCAACAGTCCAGTAACACACGGTGCACTTTATAACACCCACACTATGGTTTAACACACACACAGACACATCATCGCTGTGGGTTGATGCTCAGATGCTGTGTCACGATACACCCGTCGCATTTATCGTGTCGAAATGATTCCACCGCATCGGCTCGGCCTCCGTGTTGTGTCTGCTTTTTGCTGCAGACACTAAATGACAAATTAAAATGTGTGTCCTTCATTTCCTGATCTCCTGATTGGTCGCCTGCGCTGCCCGATAGGTGGAGATGCTGGAGAGGAAGTACGGGGGCCAGTTTGTGTCTCGGCGGGCGGCGAGGACGATTCAGACGGCGTTCAGGCAGTACCGCATGAACAAGAACTTTGAGAGGCTTCGCAGCTCCGCCTCTGAGAGCAGGATGACCCGACGCATCATCCTGTCCAACATGAGGATGCAGGTACACACACACACACACACTCACACACACACACACACACACACACGCACACACACACACACACACACACACACATTATAATAAACTCATGTTGTCTGATCTGGATTTTCTTTCGACTGGGTCCAGTACTCGTTCGATGAGCGTCCGCCGCAGTGTCAAGGGTCAGCAGGTCAGCAGGGGTCAGAGGACGCAGGAGACATGGACGACTCCTTCTCTAAACAAGTAAACACATCTGACAACTTCTTAAACTTTAATAATACTTTTAATACTTTAATACACAACTGGAATTCAAATAATGACTCAAGTCAAAGTTGGTGCGTAGATCAATGAACCACACGTGGTAAATCTATTGTCATGTAGACGTTCCCACTATTTTAAATATAAATACTTTTCTTCCAAGAACCCAAGTAACTGCTTTTATATATACTAAAGTGTACTTAAGTGTAAAAGTACTTGCAGAGTGTCGCCTGTTCCCTGATGCAACAGTCTCAGCTGTGGCGTCTTCAGGTGTTTCTTCTTCACCTGTGATGCTGCTGCTGCTGCAGGAGGCGGGGTCTAAAGTTACCTGCCTGCTCTGATTGGATCACTGGATCTATTCCTGATCTATTACTTTTAAAAACATAGAAATATGACACAGAAATAAAGGTTTGATTCCCTCCGCTCACCGTGTCTCTGTGGACTCCAGGTGAAGTCTTTGGCTGACTCCATGGACGACTCCCTCACCTGTCAGTCTGGACGAGAGGACTCACAGGAAGCAGGAGGAGACGAGGATGAGGACGAGGACGAGGATGAGGAGGAGGGAGACGAAGAGGAGGAAGAGGAGGAGGAGGAAGGGGAGGAGGATGAGGAGGAAGATGAAGAAGAAGATTACAGACAGTGTGCGTGGCGCAACACCAACGCATCCTCCCACCGTGCCACGGGCCGGGTGGGAGGTGTCGGGGGAGGAGATGGGAGAGGAGGCGCCAACATGCACGAGGACAGCACCGCCACATCCTTCAGTGATGTCACCCTCTATATGGATGATGGCTGCCTCCCCTCCTCGCCGCTCTCCCGCCCCACCTCCAACTCTGACACGGAGTACTGGGGAGAAGGGCGAGGAGGAGGTGCAGGGGGGAGGGAGGACAGCAGGGAGACGGAGGGAGGAAGCAGCCGGAGGAGCAGCACACCCTGTACAGAGTGTCGGGGGGAGTACAGAGGGAGGGCAGGAGGAGGAGGAGGAGGAGGAGGAGGACACCTCCCTGTCCTGACCATCGAACCGCCCAGTGACAGCTCAGTGGACATGAGTGACAGGTCAGCACAACCAATCAGAGAGCTTCTACACATGTTGTTCTGATTTTAACACAGACTCTAAATAAAGATGGACGACACGACAGCTCCCAAAAGTGAAGCCAAATCATCTTGATCGCCCCCTGGTGTCTGGCTGCTGGATAGGTCCCATATAAACCTTGCCTCCTCCATGTTAGCAGTGGAGACATGTCGTCCATCTTTGTTTACGGTCTCTTCATCTGCAGTTTAAAATCGGTGCATTGACGCATTGAAACACTGATTCAGTCAAATTAATGTTGTTGTTTGAATCTGAAGGTCGGAGCGAGGCTCCATCGGACGCCTGGTGTACGAACAGGAGCCGTCAGGAGTCGATCGAGGAGAGCGGGAGAGGAGGGCAGGAGCAGTGGAGGGAGAGAGTGGAGAGGATGAGCGAGGGGGAGGAGGGGGAGGTAGCAGTGAAGCCGACTCGCCGCAGGGAACCATCAAACACAAACCAAACGGCCGCTCGGTCGCCACAGCGCAGGGACAAACACGCAGCCCCGCCAACGTCCCCTTGCCGATCCCCTCGGCCCGGACCCTGCCCTCACACCCGCTCCCTCACCCGCTGCAACACTCACACCCCCACACTCACCCTGCGCCCATCCCCCACCTCCCCACCATCCTCCACCACCACCCGCAGTACAGCCAGCCACACATCATGCACATGCACCATGGGCACGGCGGCGGCGGCCAGTACATGCAGCACGCACACCACTTCACCCAGCACCACTACCACCACCTGCACCACCACCACCTGCCCCATGTTTACCCAGAACCCCCCTCTTCCCCGCTGCCGTCCCCTGTGCCGCCACTCACACCTCTCTCACCCCTGCCGCTGCCGCTCACGCCCTCGCCGCTGTCGTCCTCCTCGTCCTCGGCTCTTCAAAACATGGAGGCGCAGCAGCAGCAGCACCTCGCCCACCACCCCCACCTCCACCACCACCACCTGCTCTGCTCGGACGGAGACAACGAGAGCGTCAACTCCACCACCACCAACTCCAACGACGACACCACCGTCAACAACTGCAGCTCCGGCTCGTCGTCTCGTGACAGCCTGCGGGAGCCAATAGGAGGAGCCCCACTGGGGAAACAGACCTATCAGAGAGAGAGCCGCCACAGCTGGGACTCACCGGCCTTCAACAACGACGTGGTGCAGCGGCGGCAGTACCGCATCGGACTCAACCTGTTCAACAAGTAAGTGTGTGTTTGTAAACTGCATCAAGCTGTGGAAACCAAATCAAACTGAAAAGAGAAATAATAATAATATTAAAAATAAACTTTATTTGGAATAAAGCTGCACTTTAAGCAGCTCAAAGTGTTTTAAATACAATATAGATAAAAATAAAAACATGTTAAAATGTAATTCAAATAAGAAAACAGATTTTAAGTAACATTTAAAAGAAAATGAAATAGGAAAGATTCATTAAAACAGAAAATAAAGCAAATGATAAGAATAGTGAAAGCACAGGATCTAGATTTTTGGACCTCTGATAGATTTGCTGCAGATGTTCTCAGTGTTCTAGAGGGAACATAGTGAACTAGAGAGGCAGCTGTGACTCGTCCATTCAGATCCTCGTATGTGAGGAGGAGAACGTTCAATAATAATAATGTTGGAGAATAAAGCAATTTAAAAGAAAAGGAAGTGAAATGAAAAGTGTTTCTCTGTGGCGACAGGAAGCCAGAGAAGGGGATCCAGTACCTGATCGAGAGAGGGTTTGTGTCGGACACACCGGTGGGCATCGCCCGGTTCATCCTGGAGAGGAAAGGACTGAGCAGGCAGATGATCGGAGAGTTCCTGGGCAGCCGGCAGCAGTTCAACAAGGACGTCTTAGAGTGAGTAGACGAGTTGGACAGCAGACAGGTCCATTGTTTTTATGTCTCCATGACGCAGACACCTAGTGGCTGCAGTCGTTGTTTTCAGGTCGTTTGTCCGTCGTGGAGGAATTTCTTCAAATTCGGCTCAAACTCACAGATGACCTGATTAGATTACAGGGGTCAAAGGTCACGGTGACCTCATTTGAGTCTGAACATAAAAAGATGTTCTGGTTGACGGAGGTAACTTATGGATGATTTCCTGGTTTCCTGTTTCCGTCTGTAGCTGCGTGCTGGATGAAATGGATTTCTCTGGGATGGATCTCGATGACGCTCTGAGGAAGTTCCAGGCTCAGATAAAGGTTCAGGGTGAAGCTCAGCGGGTGGAGCGGCTGGTCGAGGCCTTCAGGTGATAAATTGCACCACAGGTTTGAATCCCAGAGGAGATTCAGCTCGTCAGAGTCTGCGATGGTGTTTTTATTCCTCTCTCTCTTGCTCTCTGTAGTCAGCGGTACTGTGTTTGTAACCCGGTGCTGATCCGACAGTTCCAGAATCCAGACACCATCTTCATCTTGGCCTTTGCCATCATCCTCCTCAACACGGACATGTACAGCCCCAACGTCAAGCCAGAGAGGAAGATGAAGCTTGAGGACTTCATCAAGAACCTGCGAGGTCAGTATGATGTTCATCTCTCACAACAAGCGGAGTTAGTCTCAAAGATTATTTTAAAAACAGTCGTCGACTTAGAGAAAGTCTGCAGGTCAGAGTCGTTCACAGCCAAAGGGAAGAAAGAGAGTCAACTTGTTTTATTCATCAAGTCATTTATTCTAATAACTTGTTGCTCTGCCTTGTTTGTACCGTAGCTCCAGAGCAGATCGACCAAACACAGGGTCGAGCGTTTTCACGTCACCACCTTAGTTTCTCCGATACGCTTGTCACTACCCACTGAACCTTTGTTTTTCCGCCAGGCGTGGACAACGGTCAGGACATCCCCAGAGACCTGCTGGTGGCCATCTATGGAAGGATCCAGAAATGGGAGTTGAGGACCAATGATGACCACGTGTCCCAGGTTCAGGCAGTAGAGAGGATGGTGGTCGGCAAGAAGCCTGTAAGAAACTTCTGACATCTATTCAACTATGTTTTTATCAGTCTGTCTACATGTTACATTTTTAGGATGAATAAATATCTGCAGACATTTGTAAAAAAAAAAAAAGATACAAATTGTGGGAATGCAATGTCCCAAGAAGACGAACCTAGATATTAAGACCTCTAACACCACCGTCATCAAATGAACACTCGGTGCATCGTCAGCAGTAACGCAGATGTTGTGCTGGACCGTGAAGAAGGAGCCTCAAGGCAAAGCTTTCGTTGAACAGGTCTACGTTTCAGCTCTCCCCTGTGTCACAAGCTCCGGGTTTTATAACCAAGTTTTATCAGCGTCTGAGATCCGACTTAGAGACAGAATGAGGAGTTCAGACATCCAGAGGGAGCTGGAGGAGGAGCTGCTGCTCCTTCATGTCGAACAAGGAACTGTCGCGGTGGTTTAGGCATCTGGACAGGATCCTCCTTGGCGCCCTCTGTTGGAGGTTTACCAGGCAGCCCCGGGGTAGACCCAGAACTCGTTGGATGGACTACATATCCCATCAGGCCTGGGAACGCCTCTGGATTCACCAGGCAAAGGGTGTCTGGGATACCTTACTTGGTCGGCCACCTCTGCGACCGGAGATACGTTAAGCAGACGATGGACGGATGAGTTTCCTTCTCTCCAAAGAACCAAGACTTTTAGAATTTTCCTCGAGCTCAACCCTCTAGAAAGATCATAATTGGTATCATTCCATAAACCTAAACTATCAGACGATCAGTTTGGTAATAATTTCATGACTTCAACAAAAGCAATCGGTCTATGTCAAGTAAACAGACAATAACAAAACGTGTGTGTGTGTGTATGTGTGTGTGTGTGTGTGTGTGTGTGTGTGTGTGTGTGTGTGTGTGTGTGTGTGTGTGTGTTGCAGG